TTTGGTAGTGTTAACATTGGGGTTGACTTGGTTCGTCAAATCAGAACTAAGTATAAATACATAAAAACTAATAAGTAGAGATAAATTTTATAATGGAAGTAAAAAATAGTAATTCACCAAAAATAATTTTGATGTTGTTTCCGCTAATTATAAATAAATTTGATTTTCAGTCGGAAGAAAAGGTGAAATTTTTTAATTTGGGAAAAGCAAGGAAAAAAAAATTAAAAGAAAAAAATTTCCCTTCATTAGTAGGGGAGGAAATACTCAAATTAGTCGAAGTTAATTATAATCAGGAAGTTAAAGAAATTATTAAAACTAACCCTAATTCCAAAGTGGTGTTAGTCAATTATCCCCATAACGAACAGCAGTTTGCCTCTCTAACTACTGAATTAGCTCAAATGGGGAAAAAAATCAATAACATTATTCTATTAAATATTGCTAATTTTGAGTTAATTTTAAGTCTAAAAAATGATTATCTAATTTGTCCTCTTTGTGAGAGGATATATCAAAAAGAAGAAGTTTTGAAAGAGAATGAAAAATTTGTTTGTTCACAAGATAATGAATGCCAGTTTTCTTTTGCTGATATAAAAAAGTTTAGTGAATATGTCATTGAGTATCATTTAAAAAATACTGAACAAATAGTCAAAAAATTTCTTTCTGAAAATAAACTTACTACTTCCTCTATTATTCAATTAACGGTTCAAAAAAAGGAAGAAATTTTTAATGGTGAAACCCAAAGAAGTTTATTAAAAGTAATTGAGAGTTTGTAAAAATGTATAAAATTATATTAGAGATGATAAAGATATAAAGTGTAAAGATAAAAAAAGATAAAAGACTACTAAAATAATAAAAATATATGGAGAAAATAGCAAATACCTAATTAGAATAACAAAACTAATATCACTACCTAATTAGGTATAAAATTGGATTAAGTTCCTAGTAGTGGTGAAAACAACACAAATTAAATAAATTTATAACAATATGACAAATTGAAAAAAATATCAAATAGCAGAAAAAAATGACTTAGGGCCTTTTAATCTTATAATGTTTTTTTTTGGTTTTAGTGGTGGTGTAGATAAGTATATAGAGTATAGTGATGCGAAGATATGGACGAGTAACTACATCACTTGTGTCAACTCTTACCCTTTTAACACTTGAGAAAAAGGAGATTATATAGAAATCGATAATGATAAAACAAAATATAAAAGCATAAAACATCATTTTGACGATGTTAACATAGTAAGAAAATTTGGTTCATCATTAGAGATGACTCGAGGACAAGCCATAGCAGATAGACTTATAAGAGAAGTTAATTCACAACCACCAGGAAAAGTTGAGTTCGAACATAGAATAGAACATAGGGATAGTTCTCCTGAACGTCTTATATACAGAAGGAATTATTAATAAAATATGACTAACATAATTAAAAATGAGTTTAATAACTTTAAAATAGGTTCGGATTATATGCTTTCTGTTGAAGATAATAAGGAAGTATACACTGTTTATTCGGAAAAATTAAAACAATTTATGCGAGAAATTATTGTTAACAAGGTGTTATCAGAACGTTTCAGAAAAAACATTAAAATGGAGGGTCATTCCATTGATGG